GCACTACCAATTTCTCTCGTTTAGATTGATGGGATATTTTTCTACGCAATTGTAGCGTCTTTGGATGTTTTGTGTATGCCTGTCTCAGTTCGTATTAGAGTACATCAGCTCACAAGCGTATCCACTATTATAAATTGTGTTGACATGTATCTTACATAGCTTGTATGCTTTGTTTCAAAAGTGTTAAATATAGAAATTATGGGAATAATAAATTAAGTTTTCGAGGACTGTATTAGTAGGTATATACAAACTCTAGGGAGAGTAATTAAGGGTTATGATTATGGCCATACAAATAACTATTAAGTTCGCATAAAAATTTTATAGATGTATTTGGTTTGATTATTAAGAGTATCAATAGTTGTACTAATAAACTTGTAATTATTAGCAAATAGTTGATATAACATTTGATATCTATTACTTAATTAACAGTTTAAAATCAACCTATAAGTTTATGTTTTTAAGTACCTTAATTAGCTATAAACTCATAAAATCAAACAACTCAAACATACAAACAATAGTTTGTGTAGCTTTAACAATTATTTGTATAATTATAACCATAACCCTAACTTAGAGGGCAAAAATGAAACTTTATACATAATTCACCAAAGATATGGTGCTAAAGAACATATTAAGATAACACTTTATAACAATTAACTTTATACATATTAACTTTATAACAATTATTCAATTAATTTTTTATTAAAAAATTCATCATATTCATTTAATAACATATTATACTCTTTTAATGATACATTATGATTGTACTTTTGTATAGTCTTGTATAACATTATAATCATAACACTAATGCCTTAAAGAATTTATCATTATTAAGATATATAAGCCATATATGGCCCCGACCCCAGGCCAATACTCCCTTGACTTAAATGCAGATTATGAACAAGGTCAAGACACTCAATTAACTATTTCAATTTTATTTATTATTATTTTCTTTAAACAAGTGTCATGGGTGGAATTCGAACTTCGAATCCACCAAGAAGAGGGGAGACTGCACTTTTAAAATGATCCGAAAGCCACTTGATTCGAAGGATCAAGTACTATTTCAATTTTATCTAGATGAATTTTGACAGAAAAATCAAATATATGGGCGTGCAAAATGACTTATCATTTCTGGCCGGTATACAACTATAAATACGGTCGTTGGACTTTGGCTGTGAGACTGAGTACGTTTCTCAGCGCCGCACAGCCGTATTATAGGACTACAGAACCATTCCAAATCAAACATTAAGATACAAATGGCAACTTTTATTCATATAAAAGTCCACACCATGCCTTTATTAAAAACAGCCCTTGTATTTCATATTCAATGATTTGTTCCTAACCTTCAGTAATTAAATTTAATTAATTAAAATTTTGATTTTAATCAACAATTTGAAAAAAAAAAATTCTATATTCCCTAAATTTCCTCCATGTTAAAAAAGAAAAAAAACAAGAGAAAAAAAAAAAAAAAGCCCTTGTATGATCCCCATGCTCTGGCATAATGGGGAAGGTAAAAAACTAAAAATCACCTCCTATGGAATGTGTCTACGATGAGCCCTGTAGGATCCCTTTTCCCCATTTTCTGTATAGCCAAAACATGTACTAGTCATCTTCTTTCAAAAAAAAAAAAAAAAAGAGCCCTTTTATGGTATTAAGGTTCACACAGACACATATATATATAAATTTATTTACATATAAATTTTACACACTATAATTACATAAAATTTAGATAATTCATCTTTCTACTTTTAATATGTAGTGTATAAGATTTATATGTAAATAGATTCTTATTATATATATAGTAAGAATTCATTTATATATATATTTTATATACCACATTTATATAAAATCTCAATAATTCATCTTTTCACTCTTTTATGGTTGAAATCTATTCACAATTATTAAAGATTAT